GGATTTTTACAACATTATTGTTGAAATACACAGTCCTGAAAAAGGGACATTTCTTTTTTTGCTGAGTATATATGCTTTGCATCACATAAATAAATTATATTGGAAAGTAGGCTATATTAAAATAGAAAACCATTTTTTAAATTGTAATTTTTTATCAAATAAATGCAGGCTTGATGCGCATAAGGGACTTATTTAGCCTAAAATAAATGTGCATGCAAATTTGACCAATTGGAATAATATACATTAATGGACTTATTTATTTATGCATTCATTCATTTATTTAGGCCTATTTATTCATTCATTCGTTCATTTATGCCAATTCATTCATTCATTCGTTTATTTATGCCTATTTATTCATTCATTCGTTTATGCCTATTTATTCATTCATTTGTTTGTTTATTTAGGCCTATTCATTCATTTAATCGTTTATTCATCATTCATTCATTAATTCATCCATCCACCCGTCGGCAGGCCTGCCAACTCGCTGGGGCTCCAAACTGGCAATGGTGGAGCGCATCCTCGAGCAGGCCCAAGCGATCAGACACATCCTGTCTGATGACAGAAGGAGCAGCCTGTCCCTGACCTGGCAGGACATGGACGTCTTGAAAGCTGTTCACGAAGCACTAAAACCAGTCGGTGACTTCACTGATATTCTGTCAGGAGAAAATTATGTGACCAGTTCCTGTATCCTCCCCATACTACAGCTCTGCAGGGACAATGTGTTGGCTGCGTCAGAAAATCACCTACAGCTAACAAAGTCAATCAAAACTGGAATTCTAACAAAGCTGGAGGCCAAGTATGAATCCAATTCAGTGTGCAAAATATTGCGAAAATGCACTTTCCTCAACCCTCGTTACCGTGGAGGATATGAGACAGATGACAACGCATTAGCTGAGACCAAGGCTGAATTACAGGCTGAGATCGTGAGCTTAGAGGCAGCAGGTCCAGCGGCCATCAGAGTGGAAGAGGGAGAGGCGCAACCTGCACCCTCACGAAAAAAGATGACTCTGGGAAGTATGCTGCAAAAAAAATCTGATGCAATGGCAGGTCCCGTCGGCATCGGCACCGTAGAGGACCGAGTCGGAGCTGAAATAACAGCCTACTGTTTGGAGCCAGTTACTCAAGGAGACGAGGACCCACTTCTCTGGTGGAAAAATGCTGCCGGGTGTTTCTCTCAGATGTCGCAAGTGGCACGAAAGTACCTGTGCGTCTGTGCCACAAGCACACCATTCATTCAGCGGGTTTTCATCACTGCAGGTAAAGTTGTCGGTCCACAACGTGCCCTGTTAAAGCTGGACAAAGTAAACATGCTGGTTTTTCTAGCGAAAAATCTTGACTAGATTGATGTCACTTGCCATTCGTTCCTATTCGCACTGTGTTTATTTTTATTTATTTAATTGATTCAGGTATTTTTATTTGGTTTACGTTAAAAACAATATTGGAAATAAGACTGGAAAGAAGTTTTTGTTTAGGACTATTGCTTTGCAATACTTTTTATAATATGGATATGTTTATGTTAATTCAACTCTGGTTGACTGTTGTAGGTCTACAGTATTTGCACTTTTTTATAAGCTGCTCTTCTTTGTTATTAAAAGTTGTTCAGGCGGTGTGATTTAATTTGACTTGTGTGTGCGTCTCTGCGTGAAAACTGTTCTGGATGTTTATGTTAATTCAACTGTGTCTATTTGCACTTTTTTATAAGCTGCTCTTCTTTGTTATTAAAAGTTGTTCAGGCGGTGTGATTTAATTTGACTTGTG